TGTCATGACCATATCACACCCGGGATGTTCTTTGCAATAACAAAACTGAATGCTCAGTTGCTTTTACACAACAGTTTTACAAAAAGGCAAGAAAAAAATAGTTTTGAATATTCTTTTAAATATATGGTTTGATATTGCGATTAATTTTAGTAACAAAGTACTTCCACCACAAGTGCCACGTAAAGTGGTCACTGGTATTATTTAGAAACCAAGTCAGCAGAATGTAGAAGCAAAAATGTCCATGTTATTTATATATATATATATATATATATATATATATATATATATATACACCCACAAGCCACACTTCTGACTGTCATCAGAATAGGTGTCCAAATAGGAGTCAGAATAGAGTCTGAAAAGGTAGGTTTTGTGACTCAACCACCTACTTTGACAAGAAGGGGCCATTTCAGAAAGATGCAAAATTACCAACTAATCTATTAATTATTATCTATTAACCATTTTTTTGGACAGTGTTACAGGGCAGACGATTGCCAAAATTAAGGCTCAACAAAAACAGTGCATAAACACAGACGCCCAAAGCCAATAGATACCAGACAGCTTCTGTATTTCTGGGGTTGATGTGTCTGAGGCAGAAACTATACCAGTTATAACAACAAAGGCAGAATGCTTTTTAACCCAACTGTGGTCCGAACTAACCACAGCATAATTTACGTTAGACATACCTGCTAATGACGAGGGGCGTTTAGGAGCTATCAGAAATTTAGCTAGCATCAACCCATTATCTAGGCTCCGGCTGAAACACGATGGGTACAGGCTCCTTCTTAGAAGCCCGCTTAGTCAAACTAAGGGAGTCAGTCTGAAAAGGCCACACTGATTCAATCTGTTCTGCCTTCTGGTTCCTGCATCATAGCAACCACAAGTCAAAATAAAGATTAACAAAAAATAAATGAATTAACAAAACATTGGATCATTAGATGTGGTGTAGTTAACTCAGCAAGCGAAGCTGTTGTACTTTCTGAAACAGCCCACTTAGAGAAGACCACTTAAAAAACTGGCATCAAATATCCTGTAATGGCATAAACGTAAACAAATAATGAATAATTCACATCAAGCTCAAGGTCAAAAACCTCAACATGTCAAGCAGCGCGCTAGTAAACTCTAGCGCTCGGTTTCTATCTCCGACTTCATTCTGCCCTTCTTCAGTGAGTTATGCAACCATGGAGCTTGGAACAGCACTGGGCTATTGTTTACATTTCAGACACAAGTGTAAAGAGAAGGGATCGGTTACCATGGACAGACAAACAGACACACACAGCTGCCTGCTCCCCTGACATTTTAAAGGAGAGTGAAAGCCCCTTTGTGACTCTGTAGCCTTCAGAAATATTTACAGCACACTCATCCAGCTCACTAAAGCTCAGTGGATCCGTTTCTGTTATTTTGTCCGTTTGTGTTCAGATGCGATTGCACCTCTATGCTAAAACGGTCTGATCCCTTGCTGTCAAAACACTACATGTGTGTTGTCAAATGAACGGCATAAGATATGCAAAGTCAGAAAAGAAGAGCTTATGAATGATTTCTGCGAAGGGCAGCAGTCGGACAGACTCTCGAGTCTCCTTTCATCAGCGCAAACACAATCGTCTATTTCACTCATGCAGGCACACAGTCTCCAGTGAAAACCTGCTCTATTCACATTTCAAAACGATGGAACAAAGAATAAAGAGCAGGCAAAAAAAACACCAGACCCAAAAAAAAAACAAGACTAAGGGTGCGTCCCACAGGATGCAAGACAGAACACGCGGCCCACACGTTGAGCACACGCCTATGAGAGCTCTCCTGGATACCCTGCAGGTCCTCCAGGGAGTCAGTGTGACTCAGGTAACCTGCATTTAAGCAGTATTCCCTCTAGGCCCAGAGCAGCCAGACTAGCCAGCAGCTCTGCATTAAGCTAGCTTTACTGTTACACTGTCAGGAATGTGCGGTAATCCATTGTTTGGAATCTCTCCCTTATTGCTAAATCAATAAGGGCCTGGTAAAGTGCTTAATCATCAAGTAATGGAGAGCACTGTTCATCATCATGCCTTATAACCCTATTACCTAGCACAGACATTTATCTACGAACCAGCTGTCGCTATGTAGCCACATACAGTGCATCCCTGTGCAAACAAACAAAGTCAGGCGGTCCTCACCTCATCTCTAGATTCAGAAGTGGAAATATTTCAAGTCTACTGAGCATAATATTAATGGACACATCCAGAATGATGACGTTATCACCTGACCCTTCTGTGTGGGGTGCAGATGTGCATGGGGACCTATCCCAGAAGTGCAATACCTCTGATTAGACCTAAGAAATAGAAAGCTATCACGCATGGAGCCCAGAAAGGGTGCCTGTGCCACAGCGTGAGTCATTTGGAACACATCCGAGGTCGGTCAAGGTGAAGTAATGGGTCAGGCATCCACAGACCAGAGCGTAGGCACAGTGCCAGCACTTGGCTTTAGGGAAGAAACGAGCTCAAAGGATCCCATTCAGCTTTTTATACAACAGCGGCTGCGTTAACAAAGGTTTTTGCCAATCCGACTGAATACATTCCGATTACAGATTAAGACTGAGGTGTTTATATGCACTCTACTTAACTGTGTGATGGAAAATCTCAGTTTACACGCTCACCACAAGTAATCAGATCCAAAATGATGCGCATGCGTAGAGAACTGCTTAGTGTAGACGTTACCATGACAGCGAGCATCACGTGAGTCCAGTCAGAGTGAGACGAGTTTTCAGTTGGCGCGCTTGTGTTTTTAATTGCTTTAAAATTATGGCAGACTTAGAAACCGTCCTTCACATGTCCTTATTAAAGAAGGGCGAGAGGAAGACGTTGTGTTCTGAGACACTTAAGCTGGACGTCCGTCCCACCGCCATCTTTTAAAGCTCAGAGGGAAACTTCGTCTCCTCTGCAGACCAGTTTCTGCCCCCGCCATGTTGAACATTATAAACTTTCACTATGACGCGACACACATGATCAGAATGGACTTCAATCTTTTCAATTGGGAATATAATTAGATATAGGCGTTTACACTGATATTATTCTTCTATTTAACTGATTATTTACAGGATTACCCACCTCACTCAATCGGATAGAAATTGTATTTCGAATGGCCTCAATCGGACTAGACTAGACAAGTTCAAAAATAAGAATAGGACATTTATAAGAACACATCATTTAACCCTTTAAGGTTAAAATATGGCTATTTCTGCCATTTTATTTATTTTATCTACAAGTTTCACGTTACTAGGTTAAACTTAAACTCCACTTATTAGGAAAACTCGTTAGGACAACACTGTTGACAATATAGGCTACAATAAAAATGGCAGCTCTTACTGTATAAAAATTGCTCTCTTTTAAATTGCTGTTGCAATAGAAAGATGATTTCATCTTTCAGCCCACTTTTGGTAGCCAAATTCTCGGTCACTTTATGTTCCAATACGTGACAGATTCTGGCCTTCTCCAAATACCCACTGTAAACCAGAGGCTTCCTTCTGTTTTTATGCTTCTGAACTGTGAACTTATTGCCTCTTACAATTAGGCAGTCAAGTTCTGTTTTTAAGAAACACTTGAAATGCATCTCTTTTTAACATAGTACTAACTTAAATCTCTTGTCATTTTTTTTAATTTGTTTGTCATTTTATTTTAGTTTTCAATCATTTCAGATTTCCTCATTTTGTTCCTTTTCTGTTTCAAGTTCAGTTCACATTTTTAATAAACATCTGAACATGTATTGTTTTACCCTGGTTATTAATTAAAATACTATTATCATTCTACTGTTATATTCTTTCTGTTCCTTTTTCTGCTTTTGTTGTGTTTCTGTTTTTATTACTTAATTTTACTATTCAATTGCAAAGCACTGTGAGCTGTTTTGTGCATAAAAATTGCTATAAAAATAATAAACAATATAAATAATAATTAATATTAATATTTATAATAATAATAATTATTATTATTACAGAAAACTATTTTATACACTGTCACAAACTGTATTTTTGAACAAGCAAACACATGAATAGGAATATAATTTAGACATCAGTCATGCTTTATCACTACTCTGATTAAACAAAACAAAAAGCGCTTAGCGATCTGAGTTCTGTTCTGCATTAGCAAACATAGTGTCTCCAAAAAGAAAGAAAGCATGAGGCGTATTTCACACAGTGATAGAAAACAGCAGCACACAGAAAGCTCCCGTTCTTCACGCTGAAACTGATGGAAAAGATTTTACTGTTGCCAATAGGTGCACTTGGTGTAACTCCTCTGGTGGCTGATATAAATGTACGACTTTCTGTTTCTTGGGCCAGGTTCATTTTCTTCCTAGCAGCCGGCAGCAAGTTTGTCGGGTTATGGTTAATTATTTTAAGCATACTGTGGAATGTGTCACTGTGAGTGAACATCAGTGTCTGCTTGTAGGTGCTCACATGATTTCTAACATGTGTGAGCACATGGTGGAACGCTATGATGCACTGAAGCACGCGGCCGGGTGGTGGTAACTGCAGACGGTCAGTACTGTTCCACAGTGTTGCTCAATTTGAAGCGAAAGTCATATGAGCATACCTGAGCAAAAATGGCACTGACCCCTGTCGGTACAAACCCCACTGCCCTGAGCTCTCCCAGAAAGCTTCCCCTATAATTAGTGTGAGAATGTGCACGCGCGCACACAGCCGGATGTGCGAGCTCTCAAAGTCAAAGACAGGGCCAGGAGAGCTGCCAGCTCACATGCTGAACACATACACAAAGCGAGTGACAGCCGGATCACAGTGAGAAGAACAGGAGGAGAACGTAGGAAAGAGCCAGACCAGAGGGGATAAAGAAAGAGAGGAGGAGGGAGGAGAGACTACACTCCGGGGAGGAATGTGGAAAGAGAGCCAGGAAGAAACAAAAAGGAAATAAAAGAAAATTAAAGTAGCGGAACAAGGAGAACTGGGAAAAAAAGGAAGCTTTATTGAAAAGTGAGATGATGAAAGCAGGGTGTATTTGCTTGTGTGTGTGTAGTACCAGACATGGTGAGGTCAAGCCTGTGGAGGAGGGAACGTTTGGCTGACTCCATGTCAGGACTGGGGTTATCCAGCGCCTGTCGGCACCACACGATGGGGCTGAGTGCTTTCTGCAGAGGACTGTTCAGCTTCGCCTCGTACAACCTGTGGGGGGAAGCACAAACGTTTAACAGCATGTAACGTCAACTGAACACTATTTCTTATGCAATCTAAAGCAACTGCATTGTTCGAACACCAAAGTTTGCTAATAATCAGTACCAATCAACAACTCACTCCAGCTCTCCTCCCGACTCCCAGCTCTAGTGTTAGTAACTTCGTTACAGTCACCATTTTCACTCAGTCAAATTTCGTTTGAAATACTGCGAGAACACCAAATCGTGACTCGAATCATAGGATGAGTATCGTTACACATGTACTCTTTAATGCTCCAAAGTCATCAGATCAGCCTGTTCTAGACAGAAATCATTATTGTTATTTTCAGTTCATTATAGAAATAAGCCAGCAGCAGATGGACACTGTATTTTGCCTACATTTGAAGGGTTTGTATTGACATAAAACAAAAACAGTGTTCAATGAGTTTTTGTCATAGTAACTCGAGCACTGTGATACTTGGTATCAATATCGAAATGAGGGTACTGTAATAACTGTGGGGGCAGTCGTGGGCTGGAGGTTAGGGAACCAGTCTTGTGACTGGACCCCCTGAGCCGACAGTATGTGACTGAAGTGCCCTTGAGCAAGGCACCTAACCCCCAACTGCTCCCCGGGCACTGCGGATAGGGCTGCCCACCGCTCCGGGCACGTGTGCTCACTGCTCCCCAGTGTGTGTCTTCACTAGTGTGTATGTGGTGTCTCACTGCACAGATGGGTTAGATTGCAGAGGTGAAATTTCCCCGTTGTGGGACTAATAAAGGTCACTTAATCTTAAAACCCTAATCAAATACTGAAAAATAAAATATGCAAAATATCCTAAAAAATCCAAATTTTAAGAACAAAAACAGTTCAGTTTTTACACTGAAATATGTTTCAGTTCTCTATCTTCACCATTCATTACATACAAATAAATAGTACACATTCCTTCAACACCACAGATAAAGAAAATACGGTGAATATGGTGAATTTGCACAATATGTTTGTACTGTCCATCTTACCTTTTTTTAAAGGTTTTCCACAGGATAGTGCTATATGGCACAATATGATTACAGACGTGTATTCAAAATTTTGTTTCTGGGTACCAAGTACATTGAACAGGGATATACGGGTGGAACTAGAAATGGTGAGACCACTGAATGATCACACACAATCGTCACAGACTTGTCAGATCTACTTTCTTAGGTATGTATCTGATGGGAATCGGACACAAGTACTTGACCAGGGTATGAACTGCTGTGGTTTCAGATTAAAAAACATACAGTACCGCACTGTCTGGTGGAAAACTGCTAAATTAAGTCACTCAGACTGTAGTTCTTACAATTATTTACTCTAATATTGACCAGGTCAAACAAAAAAAATCATGCCAACCCACAACATCATATCTAAACAATGGCAACATAGAAATTAAGCATTTCAATAGTGTTCACTAACCTAAACTGGGTTCCTTTCAGATGACAACTCTGTAGATTTTAGCATTTGGCCTTGTTAAAAACACAACAGATTCAACTCATCAGCTAATTAGCGAGACTTTCATGAGTTTAACTCGGGGCTCGACGAGGGACACTGCTCATGCCTGCAGAGCTGGGGCTGGTCTTGCAGGGCCAGATGTAATCTCAGAAAAAGAACTTCTGGGGACATGCAAGAGAAATTTGGGCTAAATGTTGGTGAGAACATAAACCGATCCAACACCTTGTAAAGGCTCACCAACACTGATGGACAACAAACGTATCATTAGCCTATGGATGTAATATAAGTTAGCATGGCTCAAAAGTCCCTCAAAAAAGCTCCAATTAAGCATGTAGATGCGTCCCGCGTGTGCAGAGAACACATTATATGCACAAAAAATACACATTACTTCTTGCAAGGGAGAACAGACTACAGTTGTGGCCTAAAAGAACGCAGTGTGAAACCCCTGACCTAGACTGCTGACACTACGGGATACAAAGAGTGACCATAAATTGTGGTACGACAGACAAACAAGTACAGTAAAGACTTTCAAACTCATAGTGAGTGAGGGAAGAACAACTGTCAGGAACAAAAATCTCAGCGTCAACAACTATGAGGCAGAAAAGTGAAGAGTCGGAGATGGAAACAGAGAGAGAGGGAGACACAGAGAGGGAGAGAGAGAGAGAGAGAGAAAAAGAGAATTCCATCAGTGGAACAGTGAGTGTCCTTCTGGATGGTTTACTGCAGGTATTGAGAAGCTGTTGCTTCACACACACAGGTGCTTCAACAGGTCTGGAAACTCAAACAAGCAGTGTGACAGTTTGAAGAAGAAAAAAAAAACCGAAGCCCTGTAGGACATTTCAAGTGTCTTAGCCATTCGCAGTGACACTTCCTCAAAAACTGTTACACAAGCACTGCTGCCTTGTGCCGTTCGTCTACAATCGGCATCAGGACGTCATCGCTGCAACGTTTCATTAGCCAGAGAGCAGCACTGCAAAACTCACTCCAGCACCGTTTGACAACATGAATTAAGGACAGACGAAGGTCTTTAGAAGTGAGGGTGAAACAGGCCTACTGAAACACTTTTCTGGCTGCAGGACAGCAGCCGCCTGGCTGGTAATCCAGCTTGGTAGTAATTCAGGATTACACCAGGACTCAGTGATAGAGCTTGGCACTTAGTGTAATCCCTCTACTCTGACAGACTGTGTGTAAGCGAGACACAGAGAGAGAGACACAGACAGAGAGAGAGACACAGAGAGAGAGAGAGAGAGAGAGAGTTTACTATTGTTCAACAAAACTTTAATTTTTTATTCTATAGCTTTGTTTTAATGTCTGATCACTTGATTAAAAGTGAAATAATCTGCAGATTGCTATTGTAATTAAGTGACAGACCTGTTAAGATGTCGCAGTAACAATTAGGGATGTAACAATACACAAAATCAATGATTTGATACAACATGGTGGTGTGTGTGTCAATATGATCTATTTTTAATAGAGGAAAAATAGAACGGATGAATTTGAGCCTCAGGTTCATGTGTTAATGTCTGCAACAGGCGCACATCTTACACACATGTGCACTAGGCCTGTAGCAATGCACATATTTTTAGGTTCAACATGGTTTTCAATTCTGAGGTCAAGATTCAGTGAGATTTTTATTTTGTTTGGCTTACATAAATAAAGGTTCTCCAACAGAACTTTACCAATCCAAGCCACGAGACCAAGGGGTATATTTTAAATTTCAATACACTGTTTTAAACTTGATTTTTCGATACGTATTGGAATCAATACATCCTTAGTAACAGTACACTGTACCATAGAAGGCTGAGGAGCTTATATACATGGTCATTAAGACAGCAGCTAGACTGCATGGTCATGTCACTGATGTAGGCTGCCCACCAGGTCATGGAGAGGTGACCTACAGGACAAGCAGTGACCATGTTTTATTATCAGTTTAAACCTCACTGCTGTCAACTTTGCTAAGCTAATTGTATCATTTACCTGATTACATCTGATTACTAGGAAGAACTGATTTTGCTTTGACTTGTTTGATAAGATCACCAATAGTCTTGTCCCGTTAGTGAACTCATCACATTTTACACTAAGAGTCGCCTTAAGGTTTTAAATTTCATCACTGATCTCATCACTGATCTCATCGCTGAGTCCTCACCATCAGCCCCGACCACAACAGCCCAGCTGCTGCAGGGATTTCCCAGCGCTGATTTTGTGAATCCACCCAGACAAGCTCAAGTTTCAGGATTAGTGCTTTCTATGGGGAAATCCGTGTAAAAGGTGCTAAACCTCAAGGTTTTGAAAATACACCCAATGGAAAAAAAAAAAAACAAACAATAGTGCCTCACAGTATACATAAAGTTCCATACTGCACCATACCATACTGTGACATACTGTGACGGATATGCCTTTGACATATATTAAAAACACAATGGTGAAGTTTTGATGTGACATTTTAAAGAATGGCCTGACTTATTTTGACAAAAATCATTTAAACTGTCTGTTGGATCACAAAAAAGCCTTGGATCATCTCAACAGCCATAAAATACTAATCTGGAATGCCTGAAACTGGTCAGGACATTGAGATTACATGCACCACCAGCTGAATTTCAGCTGTTTCACAACAGGCAGACCCCTCAAGTCTATATTATTAGGCTTCAGACAGTGTCTCTGAACCCTTCCAGTGAGTGGTCAGTGTACCATACCTGTTATAAGCAAGTGAAATGGCACATGGTTGAACCCGGTAACAACAAAGAGCACCCGCTATGCTCCTGACCTATCCCTGCTCTCTGTCGCAGGACACTCTGCTTGTCTGAGTCACAGCCTTCTTTGGGACAGGACTGTCACAGGTGCTGTCATCGCAACAAATGTGTTTTGCACAAGTCCAGGACTGGGGGGCTGCCTAAAAAGCGTCCCCTGTTCAATATGAACAGGTGCTACAGTGAACTCTGGCCAAAAACCTTCCAGGGACCAAGTGTGCACACACAGGCTCGAAACAAGGAACAAACCAAGAGCAACAGGCAGTGCAACAAGCGGCCTTCTGAAAATAGCCACCGTGGTGCTGTAAACTGGGTGGAAGCCAGTTTAGGGTGGGTTTGAACCAAAAAAGAAGGGCCAAGAGCCAACAAAATGTGACCACATGTCTACAGATAACAAAAGATTATGGATAGACAAGATTAGAACAATATTAAGCAGAGTTCAGCACAAACTGAACCACAACTCCAGAAATAAGCCAAAGCAGTAATGCTTGAGGCCTGTTTTGGCCCTCAGTCTGACAGCTCGTTTCATTTAACCGGCAAACTGTTGCTCTCTGCAGTCTACTCAGATTGCAGCGCCTTCTTTTGGTTCCCGTTCAAAAAGTGACACCAGTCTGACATGGACAATGGCAGAAAGGCGGCGGCGGCTAACAGTGGGGCAAAATTGGAAGCAGGGGGTCTTACAAGCCAAAAACAAATGGTGCCAACCCGATGAAATATGGATGGCCTTCAGATTTAAAGCACCGTTTTGTCACACCAGCGCAGCGTTTGGGGGGCGCATTCCTCCCTCCGCGGCTCGTTTCCCCTCAGACACTGAGAGTCGATCCCTCTGGCCTGTCAAACTTCAAACCTCTACCTAGCTAACTTAGCTTCCACACGGCCCCAACTCCTCCAGCTCCTTCCTCAGCGCCGTTTCTACTCACCAGCTGTCCTCATCCTCGTTTAGACAGTCCATATCCTCCAGGTCGAGGACCTCCACCTCGTCCAGCACAGAAGTTTCTCCGTCCTCGATGAAATCCACCACAGAGTCGCGGTAACGGGAGGAGACGCCGGTGTTGGAGGCGGCTGAGGCGGCGGTGTCGCTGTCGTAGCTTCCGTAAGATCCGTGGTAAGAGCGCCTGGGGCTCAGGCAGCGCGAGTTCTCCAGCAGCGCCCCGAAACCGAAGCCCCTCGCCCCGCCGAAGCCGGGGAGACCGGACGCCGCGCCCGCAGACAGCGGAGAGTCGTAGCCGGCGCTCAGCGGTCTACCGTTGTTGGCCCCCGTCGCGGCGCCGGACGAGGAGAGCAGAGCCGAGCGGCTTCGGAGCTGCTCGTTCTGCTGCTCGAGCCTCTTGACCAGGTCCTGGAGCTTACGGACCTCCAGGTCCGCATTTATGTTCGAGTTGATGTCCTCCATGGCCAAAAACACGAACCGACAGAGCGGCGGGAGGGAGAGAGGGTCCGAAAATACACAGCCAGTCGGCTCTAATCCGCTTCCACAGAGCTGACGAGTTCTCAGGTGCTCCTCCGGGCGTCTCCGAGCTCTACACTGTCAGCGCGGCGGCCGTAAAGTCAGTTATTCGGCTCGTCGTCGTCATCTTCGCCGAACTCGCGCGCACACGGGCGGCTCCGTCGCCATCTTTACCGAACACCAGGGGGAATGGAAGAAAGGCAAGGTGCGCTACGTCATCACGCGGCCCGGCGGGCACGAGCACGTTTTTGGGAGTGACTCCTCCCGTGAACGCGTATTTCAATAACTTCCTGTCTGTTTATGGGTTGGATTGTTTTAGTACAAAACTCAACCCAAACAACAAAATAACATTTAAAAACGTCACTAACAGTTTATTCTTGTAAACAGCTGTGCAGTTTCCGTTGGGCGGCTTGTTTCATTAATTCCACTTTTAATTAGTTTTTTGTTTACATGAATTAATGCTGGGAGATATGACAAAAATGTAATATCATGACACTTAAAGAAGTTTTTATGATACATGATGTCACAATATTTATTTTTTCTCATCTAGTAAGCTGGAACACACAAAGTAGTTCAAAAAATACTATCAAAATATACGAATACAGTTCACATTCACACTGTACTGCCCTTAAACCAGTTAAACAGGGCTAATCATGCTCTCTTAAGCAAACATGCAGTTGGAAAGTGTTTCGAAGTACTTACAACATCCATGACATGCTCAAAGAAGCGTTTTGTAAGGAGCCCCGCTGGTGACATCCTGTATAAATAAAAAATAATGCGTGGCCACGACTTAGTAAGGCGTGGGAATGAGATGATTAAGTCGTGGCCACGACTTAGTAAAGCATGGGAAAGAGATCACGGCTTACTAAGTCGTGGCCACGCATTAGGATCTCGTTACCACGCTTTACTAAGTCGTGGCCACGACTTAATCATCTCATTCCCATGCCTAATTAAGTCGTGGCCACGCGTTGTTTTTTATTTATACAGGATGTCACCAGCGGGGCTCCGTAGTTTTGTGACATATTGTGACTTAATTTATAATGATAACGATAAATGTGGCCCAGCTCTGATACAAAATAAACCTTGTTGGTTTACATAAGCTGTAATCAATACACTGATTAAAAAAATGTAATGCAAGCTGTTGTGCTACCAGTTCTAAAACATAAACTTACTTTAAACACAAAATTACTTTGAATAGTTTTAATCGGTCTATACCACACAGGTATTTCACAAAGCAGGGTTTCTCAGTTTAGCCAGATAACTTGAACCCAACAACAAATCTGTCCAGCAGGAAAAGAGTCGAGGGACATTCCTGTTGGATAGTCCTCATCTTTGGGCTTAAGTTATCTGGCTAACTGAGAAATCCTGCTTTGTGAAACACATTCCAGGGGTGCCTAAACTTTGTCTTGAGAGGCCAAAGTGCAATGTTTGAGGTGGGCTGAGGGCCAAAAAGACAAAAGTATACAAATACAAAATGTAGGTAGGTTTCCAAACTGAGTTTTTAATAAATATATTTTATAACATTACACTAGTTGTGTTACTCAAATACTTCAAAAACACACTTAAAATAAAGTATTACAGTTTAGGTGGTGGATCATTCTCAGCACTCCAGTAACACTGATGTTGTGCTGGTATGAGTGGATCAGACTCAGCAGTGCTGCTGGAGTTTTTAAACACTGTGTCCACTCACTGTCCACTCAATTTGACACTCCTACTTTGTCAGTCCACCTTGTAGATGTAAAGTCAGAGACGATAGCTCATCTGCTGCTGCACAGTTTGTGTTGGTCATCCTCTAGTCCTTCATCAGTGGTCACGGGACGCTGCCCACAGGACACTGTTGGCTGGATATTTTTGTTTGGTGGACTATTCTCAGTCCAGCAGTGACACTGAGGTGTTTAAAAACTCCAGCAGCTGAAGAACAGGGTAAAAGGGGGCTAACAAAGTATACAGAGAAACAGATGGACTACAGTCTGTAACTGTAGAACTACAAAGTGCACCTATATAGTAAGTGGAGCTGATAAAATGGACAATGAGCGTAGAAACAAGGAGGTGGTCATAATGTCATGCCTGATCGGTGTATATATGTAGTATTAAAGTATGTAAGTTATCTCTCTGGGTAAGGGGGTGAGGTTAACATCCTCACAGGCCAACCTTGGCCCACAGGTCACACTTTGGGCAGCCCTGGCCTACATATTGTCATATCTTTATCTACTGCAGAGGTGTAAAAGTGCAGACAATCAAGGCCAAAATTCTGAACAGACCTACTCTTTATTCTTTAGACGTGGCAGACCCATTCCAGCCAGGTCTGTCAATTGAAACTCATCCAGCTACGTTAGTTAGCCAGCTATGGAATTCAATAGGCTTGCTAACTAACTGTATTGAATCAGATGTATTTAAGCAGTAAAAGCCTTAGCTGTGCGCATTGCTGTGCCCATCCAGTTTGACCCCACTGAAGTAGTTCAACAAAAATGTCTTAAAATGTAGCATAAAACCACATAAACCGAAAAAATTATAAAAGACAACCAAATCTGTTCAAAACATCACTTTATTCTCAAAGGAGAATATCATATTTCAGTCAAATGTACATTTCCTACAAAAATACCTGGAAAATTTTTATTTGTACTCTACCGGTCATTACTGAGTAAGATGTTGGTATGTTGTAATTTCAGTCTGGGAGCGAAATAGGATTTGACTTCATGGTCGAAGGTCATAACGTATCAGACTCTGACGTCTGTTCCAGGGTGTCTCCTGACCCCTCGCCCATCTCCTCACAAGCCTCTGCCTCTCCCTCTCCGTCTCCTTCTGTTCCTGTCGCTCCCTGATTGGTTGAAGTCTCTTCCAGTCCATCCTGGTCAGAGCTGATGTCTTGCGACTCGTCGGCCCGCTCTTCATCCTCCTCATCCTCTGCGTCCATCTCAAACACGCGGATGTGACGCAGGTTGGAGCTCAACTAGTTGAATAAGTGTAAATGCACAGAATTTGTTTAATTTATTTATACGGACAGTTGCAAAAAGGTGCCATCCACATACCCACTCTATAACCATACAAACAAATATACATCAAATGAATTTGCAAAACAATAAATCATCCTTAAATAAGCATCACAAAATCACAAAAACAACAAGTAATTTGTTTCTAAGCTTCTTCTAGTAGATATAATAGATGCATGGTGGATTGGTAAAATTCCGTTGTTCTCAATTAATCCTTTTAATATGATTAGCCAAAGATTAACCAAACAGGCTTGAACAAACATAACAGCTAACTGCAATGGTTCCATGGTCCTAATCTCTAATTCCATTTGCACAAACATAAGATTAAGGATTAAAGGGGAAAAAACACTGCTGATTCTTACTTTGTTTCATCTCAACAAAAACATCAACCAACTCGAGTTATCTCTATTCCCCAAACGAAGGTGGTAGAGTCAACAGAGTCTATACGTCTGTATGAATGGAAACACTTATAACACCAGAAGATGCATGTCTATGTTTTAAACAGCAGAATGTGCATGCGTACTTGCAGATTTGTATTTGCTACTGTGCTGTTAATGCATAAAAACATCCAATGCAACAGCTTCTGAAGAACTGTGAACATGTGTTCAGAACATGATTTGAATCATAACCTAACTTTTATGTGGGGAAACTGTTGTTTTATCAGAATAACAAAAAGACACCTGAACCTGAATCTTGACTGTACATTCCGAGGCATTCATGCATTCAGTGGCAGTTTGTGTCAAAAATCCACCAGATCAAATACTTGTCGCAGCAAGGTAAACGCAACAATACCATGTGAAGATTCCTTTACTTGAACAGCAGTTCAAAATGCGTATTTAAGACGTTAAATAAAAATTATAATTTTAGATTTACTTTGGTTTTCAATTTCAGTTTAGTTTCAGTCCATATTTATTTATTTGTTTTTAAAACCTTTAGTTTTTGGCTCAGTTTTGGTTTTTAAAATTACTCAAAGCACTTATAAATTAGACTCGTTTCCTTCTGATCATTTTTGCCACTTTAGCAAAGCTAAATTAGCACGGTAGTAGACTGTGCTCAGCTAGGTTGCAAGCTTTAGAATCTAGAACAATAGAAGAAGGTTCTTACCACGCAGGCTACTTTGCGGATACCATTCACAGCCACAAACTGAGCCTTCATGTTCTCTAGATCTCGGCTCTGATTCCCCCAGGTCAGCTCTTGCACCGGAATCTTTTCACTCTGCTGGTCCAACCTGGCCCACAATACAGCACACATACAGTGAGATTGGCATAATGCACTGAAGTCAGGCTGCACGTGTGTTGTACACAAACTGCCAAAAACTTTGGGACACCTTGACTAGACTGAAATTTTCTGAGTAAAAATTTTCACAATTACTTTTGAATTAAGTAAGGAAAAAAAAACTGGAAAGGCTTAAATAAATAGTCACAAATACTTTGGGTATGTTTAGCAACATTCTTCCTTGATATTCTCTTCTACTTGGTATGAAGAGTAGGTTTTGCCTAAATAATGTTTTGACAGTTTTTCCCCCAGGACTATTGTTAAAAGCACATGTTAAAGGGCCCTTCTCATGGTAAACCAAATTTTCCTTAAGAGTTTTTCTGATTTTTTTCCCCAATTTTCTGCCCAATTTAGAAATATCCAATTCCACCCGCGAGTTAGGACTCCCGCAGTCACACGATACCACCGGCACTAGGAGGGCGAAAGCTAGCACAAGCTTCCTCCGAGACCTGTAAAGCGAGCCACCACATCTTTTCGAACTGCTGCTAATGCAACATCATTGGCTAGCATCACACTGGGTGATGGAGGAAGGCGGGGGCAGAGAGTGCGAGGCCAATTGTGCTCTCTTGGACTCCCAGCCAGAAAGCAAGGTCCATAATGACATGGTCTGACGTGATTGGTGTGGAGGAACAACTGAATTGGAATGCTGATTGCAAGCCAGGCCTTCCCGGGAACACCAGTGTCAGACCTCACAAATGCTCTTTTAACTGAATGGGCACAAATTCCCACAGACACACTAAATGTTCTGGAAAGCCTTCCCAGAAAAGTGGAGGCTGTTATAGCCACAAACTCCATGTTTGTTATAGCCAACTTCATATTGATGCCCATGGTTTTGGAATAGGATATCCAAGAAGGTCATATAGGTGTGATAATCATTTCCACATACTTTTGGCCATATAGCGCATATCAGTTTTAAAAGCACAGTAACAAAATCAACTTGTTTAACTCTAAGGGATAAGGAGAGATTAGAAAATGGTCATGTAAAAATTAATGATGACAGTTTTTGGTACATAAACCCACACAAACATCATAAGTAGACCTCAAGAAAACAAGCAAAAATGTATGACATGGGCCCTTAAAAAATCTTTCAGTACAAATGTGTCCTAAAGATCTCAGCACTGCCAAGATCTGAATGCTGATGAGTGCTGACACCAGAATAAGGGTACAAAATGTGTGGAGTATATCGTTTTTCTCAATGTACTACTTTTGACAGTTGTTTCTTAAGAGTTTTTGCAAAAAAAATGTCAAGATCAAAACTCAAAAAGTTTTTCTTCAAGATCAGATAGTATCTACTTACAAGGTCATCACAAACCGACACAGAAAGCTATTACAAAGAAGTATTAAAGCACAATTTGGAAAAGCGAGGTGTCACTAGACTTTTGACAGGCAGACTATACATTATTAAGGGCTTCAAAAAGGTTTTTATGTCACTAGTATATTTTGGTTAATTCTCCTTACTTTAACACAGATAAAGAGTTAAATCAAATGTACTGAATGGCTGGACCACTCCACCTTAATGACACGCTCAGCAGCTGTGTAAGGGATACATGCTACACAAACTAGGTGACGCCTAGGTCAGAATGACAGATCAGACTGCTGCCCAAAGTCCTTGTTTGGGATAAAAAGGTGACACTGTATATAGGCGATACCTGAGGGTGGGGTCCCATGTAAACACTTCCTCACATCTAAGGGCGGAGCTGAGGGGGAGCTGGGCAAGGAGGCGGAGTTTGTTCTCATCTTTCTCCTGGCACTGCAGAACCACTGTCAATGTCTCGTCGTCATAGAGACGGGCATTAAGGCAACTATAGGAGCGATCGCTAAAAGAAAATAATATCGACCACAGAGAAATCGATTAATTTAAAACAGTTTTTTAAGTACTGCACTTATTTTCAGTGTGTTGCACATTTTCTTTAACTCTGTGTCTGCAAGATGTTAAAGAAACTTACACAGACTCTGCTACTGGCACTTCATCATCAATACTGGTGTTAAACGGAGTGTTCAGGTGTATGGCTACCAAGTTGTTAAGGACAGATCTAAACAAAAAACAGAAACACACACACACACACACCAATTGACAAGGTATTAGACTATTCACTTCTTAAACTTGCAGTAAATTCCACTTTTTATTATGCTGAATATCAGATAAAGAAACCCTGGCTGTCTATACTCAGCTTTCAGAGTAAACGGTAACAGTATATGGCTGAAATAATTCTATGCAGGGGTGAAAAATACTTAAGTACTTGTACTTCATTACTTAAAGAGGTTCATTGTAGAGAAACTTACTGATTTAGACTCCTTTACAGTGGTGAACGTCAACACAAATATGACCACTTTAAGTACACTCCAAATGACCAGTGAACCTATATGTGCCTTCTGAGGGTTTATATATAATGTTGATAATGGTAAAATAATTTCAAATCTGGAATAAGTTTTGTTTGGGGACTATTTTGCCTTACAAAGCCCTGCATGCACCTCTTTGCCATGAATGGATTGAAAAAATGTTTAAGCCAAAATCTTGCTTTGTGTAATAACTTCAATGTCAATATCTTTTGACTTTCAGTCAGTATATTTTTGCCCCCATATTTCCACTTTTAATTGAGTCTGAAAGATTTTGATAAAGTACTTTCACTTCAGTATAATTTCTCTGTACTTTTTCCAGCCCTGATTTGATTAAAATAGGGACATTAGACAAGCACCTGTTTGGGTCCGTTGCCCTTCTGAGGATGTAGATTTTGAAGGGTGAGATCTCTGGCATACAGAATACTACATAATGCATCGCAGCATTCTTATCATTCCATCTGCAAGAAAACAAAAAATCATTAGCACTCATTATTTTTACTCACTTCTCATTTATTAGGAGTTAATTATTTAGTTTAGTTCCTGATTCCAGTAAAACACATAATACACATTCTAAAACAATTATGTGTTTTATTATTTTAAGCCTAACTAAATTAATTATACTTTATTTTATATTATAATTTTTTTCCATACAGTCTGCTTTTTACATGTTTTTTATTTGTTAATGTTTTTTCTAACAATAAGGAGAAGTTCAAGGTTAAAGGACCCATATTATACATTTTTCTTGCATTTGATTTTTTTCCCTTAAGGTCCACTTAACATATTTGCGGTTTTATGCATTAAAAACAGGTTTAATGTCATTTTTCAACCTTTCTTTATGCCTCATAATTAAACCTTGTTTTCTGTTACTTCACAAAAAGAATTTATTTAAAACAGTTTTTTTTGCAGTTTAGTTTCCATATATGGACTGTATGGATTGGGTATGGAACAGCATGTTTTAAAACTTTAACAATGTTTATTACTACTTAAACTCCTTCATTTTAAACAAAGCTAAGGAAATTCAGTTTTTACTGATATTGTTCAGTTTTCATTTATATGGACCCTTTAAATTACTACAACAGAGGAGTCCAATTTAATCCATGTTACATAATCTGGACTGAAAAAGTTGGTTTAAGCATGTAGCTGTTACTCGTCTACTTACAGCGATGGAAGCTCAAACAGCCGAGGTGTGTCCTCTGACCTGTCAAAAACATACAAGTCAATGCTGTGTGGGCAACATAATGTAAACACTTATTCTGCACTATTATCAATCTTGAATGATGTGGATTACCTCTCACACACTGAGTACAGGGGCAAGCACACAGCCTGCTTCACTGAACTCCCTATTACCTCCTGAAAAATACACACAGCACACAGATCAACAAAGACACACATGCCTGGATGCACACTCAAATATTCACAATCAATATTCAGCCTCTTTATGATCACAAAAAACACTGCAGACAGAAAAAAAATGCTATTGATAAGCACCATGCAAATGCTTTTGATGTATTTGGGCACTGGGGAGGCAGACGGTGTATTCATTGTACTGCTTTGGGTTATCAAATGAGGCATGTATGATTTGGACTAATGTTGTAGTGCTTGAGTCCAGTCTTGATACAGTCAATTACATCAATATCCCAACATCATTTGGACTCGGTCTTGTCTCAGTCTCGGGGTAAGGTGGACTCTGAAAGACCAGCCAAGTGCGATGCCTCCATCTGAAGTGATTAACTAATTTTTTTTCTAATATTCTTGAATAGCAACAAAACCTTCAGAGTAAAACAGTTTTTTTTCTACATGTTTACATTAATTTATTCTTTCCATTATGGCTTAACTGGTTATTATTTGTTTGTTGATGTTAATTAGTTCCAAAACTCAAACATCCTGAGGGCAGATCAGAATGTTATTATTACTATGTTTCATTTAATAATAATAATGGATGTATGTTGTTGGTTGGATTACAATATAATAATAATTAAAGCTATGTTTAGCTTTAGACTGTGCGTTATATTTTACAAAATTTATTTTATTTATTAATAGATATCATATATAATGAATGGCAACAAATGTACCATGAACAACCAACAAATTTAAGTTTTTTTCGCTATTCTTCTTTTCATTTTTGTATTCTGAAAAAATCTTGCTGGTCTAATTTGGTACTACAAAAAGTCTTGGTCTTGACTCAATGTGTCCAGATCTCTGTTTTGACTCTGACTCACCTCTAAAATTCCTGATCACAACTCTAGTGTTCTGAAAAAAGTCTTGTAATTTTGTAGTTGTTTTTACTAAGCGTGCAGCATTGAACAAAGGAAATGTTAAAACAAGAGCATATGATATTGTGCCCAGGTTATAAAAAGTGTATAACAATATAAAACATTACGAAATTGTTCAAACAGGATTAAATACACTTGGGTGGCCGTACAAGTGCAGCAGCAAACACTGGATATGTGTGCGTGTCTGTACGAGGAAACAAAGCCTGAAATACCTGGTCGTTTCATGTCTCTGGATTGTAACCTGGTAAGTCCACATGCATTTCCACTTATTAATCAAATGCATCTGTCTCCAGTTAATTCTGGTTGAAATCCAACTGCTAAATGGTGTGTAATATGCAAAACAACCAATCATTGATCTTGTTCTTCATTTTTCCTGTTCTATGAAAAAAAAAATGGTTGTTGCCTTGAAAATCAAGTAAAGTCTAACCAAGCCGGCACTTTATTTTAACTAGCACGGGCTGATAAAGGCTACTGAATTAAAATTTTCTGAACTAAAATAAAATGGCACTCAAGATGAACATGTGTTGGACTCGGGACAGTTTTAAATTTCTCATGCAGATTCTCACAGCCGCCTCTGACCTACAACAGATTGTACCCTGCATCTCCTACATTCCCACTCAACATGTGATGCCATGAGAGGGGTCGGGCCAGGCTCGGACAGAAAATTCTTGGGCTGTGTTTGAGTTTTGACCAAAATTTCTGGCCGAACTGAAGAGATACAGACGAAAGGATACATGGCTGCTGAGTGAAAAACAACAAACACGGTTGGGAAAGAAAAAAAAACACAAGAGTTTGTGTGTGTGTGAGTGTGTGTGTGTGTGTGTGTGTGTGTGTGTGTGTTTTTTTTGGAAGGGGGGCACTAAATCAAAATCAGCTTACACCGCAGTGGGCCAGATTTATAACCGTCTGACTCAGCAAAAACACTAAGCCAAATTTTAATAACAGGGCTGAAGACAGAGCATGTCTGTAATGCGAAATAAAAAGAATGACCACCTCCTTTTGAAAGTAAGAAATTCATAGATTTTCCCAACCCAAAAGCTATGCATTAAAGAATGAGAGAGAGAGAGAGAGAGAGAGAGAGAGAGAGAGAGAGAGAGAGAGAGAGAGAGAGAGAGAGAGGGGAGAAGGAGAGGGAGAGGGAGAGAAAGAAAGCAAGTTAGAAAGTATGTGTGTGTGTGTGTATGAGTTACAGACTCACAGCTGGTTTCTGCAGACAGATGTCGATAGTCCCTTCCATCATCCTCTTAACAAAGTGCAGAGACTTTTGTGGGTAAGTGGGAAACAGCAAAGGACTCTCTGTATAACATCACGAGTAAATATGCACAGAGCTGTAAGTTTATTGGGTTCACGCAACATATGCGTATTATAATTGGCCATTTTAGCAGACACTCCTAATATAGGTGCAATTTATATTAGGTACAATTACTAACTGTAACTAATCAGTTGCTGTGCACAACCTTCTACCCCATTCATCAATGGAAAGGGACCACTACAGCTCATCTTTTCCCATGTACATTCTGTTGTAGTCATCCTCTAGCCCTTCATCAGCGCTCAGTTTCTCACATAGGAGCACTGTTTGCTGGTGGTCTGTTCTCAACCTATCAGTATTGCTGAGGTGTATAAAAAAGCTCAGCAACGCTGCAGCACCAGCACAACACACACTAACATGCCAGTACCGTGTCAGTGTTACTGCAATGCTGAAAATGGTCCACCATCCAAATAATACTTGCTCAGTGATGTTCCTTTTCCACTGACAGACAGTACACAGCACATGTGTCAGGCTCCAGTCCACACAGGCCAGAACACTGCAGGCTTCAGCACACTACCTCACTAATCACATCTGATTCAGCTTATCAGCTAATTATCACAGCCTTCATTAACTGAATTCAGAGCATTAGATGAAGGTAAATGCTAATCTCTGCAGCACTTCGGTCCAGAAACTCCCCAGTTTGACATGCCTGGTGTAGAGGGTGCTTTATAAGTAGATGGGCTACAGTCAGTAATTATCTATCAAATAACCTACAAAGTGCACCAATATGGAAGACGTACCTTAATGGTCAATGATTGTAGATACAAGATATGATAGCTAATAACTGGCAACTCAACATATATTGAAAGCTTTATTAAATTCATTAAACTCAGGCAAACTTTCTGCAACTAAGATGCTGCTTCTCAAATGAATACATTTGGTATTCATTAATTAATGTCTTTGTCTACTTATAAATGTTAGAAATCTCACAAAAAAGGATGATGCTTATCAGTGTGTCTATAACTGGTAAAGGTGGACGAAAATGTGCTTTGCCTTTGAGGTGTGTGCTCTGCTGGACAAACGTCACCCAGTGGTTGCCCTCCATATTAGGCGGAGACACCAAATCTTCATCTTCATCTTTCAGATACTAAAAGAAGCAGAGCAAAAGCGTTACACACTGTAGTACTATTCGGACAGGATTAGTTTTACATGGGAGGCTGGGTTAACGTAATGTTAGCACTGGACTTCTGCAACGTTTTTGATTGATTATGGGATTAGAAATCTCGGTATAAAGTTCAGAGATGGGAATGACTATTCAATTTAAAACACTGGGGTCACACATAATAAGTTCCAAATGCAAAATGTTCAGCTGCTCAGAAGTAGAAAAAGGGCTAAACGTTAAATTTTACTTAATCATAACTTCATTTTGTATGACCATCTACCTGACTGTCTTATAGAGCAATTGTTCCTTTCTAGAGAAATTTACAGTCAGAGTTGTTCACAGTGGCGGTGATGGGAACCAGACGTCTGAAGAGCTTAATGCCTTTACCAGCTCCCTTACAAAAGATAATATATGAAATAGTAAAAATATGCTTCCTGGGTCTTGACAGATTGTTTTTTGAAAACATTTTGCCAAAAATGTGTTTTTTTAAGCCGTTGATAGCGGAGATGTACACATAGAGTGTTGTGAGGCAAAAAAGTCCAAATAGGGAAAAATATTTTTTCAGATTTACCACTATTTTATCATCGTTAATATTACATATAAAAACTTCAGTGATGATTTTGGATAGTAAATAAAATGGCTATATTTGTTTCAAAAATGCTTCAACTCTTGGTTAACCACCAGTGTCAAGAAATCTGAATTGGTAAGTTTCTCTACAATACACCATTTTTTTCAAAAAACCATTAGACAACCATTAGATACCATTAGAAAACCATTAGACCACCATTAGAAACCATTAGAAATCCATTAGAGAACCTTCAGAAAACCATTACACAACCAATGGACAACCAATGGATAAGCATTGGACAAGCATTAGACAACCTTTAAAAACCTTAAAAAAACATTAGAAAACCTTGAAAAAAAACATTAGACAACCTTTGGATAACCATTAGAAAACCTTCAGAAAACCATTACACAACCATTAGGCAACCTTTAAAAAACCATTAGACAAGCTTGAGATAACCATTAGAAAACATTCAGAAAACCATTAGACAACCATTAGAAAACCTTCAGAAAACCGTTTGACAACAATTATCCAACCATTAGACTACCTTCAGAGAACCTTCAGAAAACAATTACACAACCATTAGACAACAATTATACAATCACAAGACAACTGTTACAAAACCATTACACAAAAATTAGACTACCATTAGAAAACCATGAGAAAACCATTAGACAACCAGAACACAACCAAAAGACAACCATTAGACAACCTTTAAAAAACCATTAGAAAACCATTTGACATCCTTCAAAAACCACTGGACAACAATTATACAACCATTAGACAACTATTAGAAAACCTTCTGAAAACCATTACACAAACATTAGACAACCATCAACAACCTTCAGAAAACCACTGTACAACTATTAGAAAACTATTACACAACCATTACAAACCATTAGAAAACCATTAGACAACCTTGAGAAAACCTTGTGAAAACCATTAGACAACCATCACAAAAACAGACAACCTTGAGAAAACCATTATACAACCATTAGACAACCTTAAGAAAACCATTAGGCAACCATTAGGCACCTATCAGAAAACCATTAGAAACCATTAGACGACCTTCAGAAAACCATTAGACAACCTTTAGAAAAGCTTCTGGAAACCATTAGACAACCATTAGATGACCTTCAGAAAACCATTAGACAATCTTTAGAAAACCTTCTGGAAACCATTAGACAATCACCAGAAAACCATTAGAAAACCTTCAGAAAACCATTACACAACCATTAGAAAACAATTACACAACCATTAGACAACCATTACACAACCATTAACAACCTTCAGAAAACCATTAGACAACCTGGAATATTTACATGGTAGTTCACAAAGGACTAATACATCCTGGGCTTCTTTCTATAGTCTGGTTAATCACATACAAAAACCTTGGAATCTTCATGGATGCTCAAGCGAGCGGTCTGTAAAAATGACTGACAAGGTTTTTCACACGAGACTAAAATCACTGAGATAATAATTAGGTCACCCAACATGTCATCCCATCTGAACAGTGCTTTAATGTAGACACACAGACACAGGCAAAGACCACCCCTCACCTGTCCCACTCGTTCCACGTTAAAGTACTTCCCTTTCCGATCAAACAGCTCTTCATTCTGTCACGGTTAAGAAACAAAGTCAAATACATGGTGGAAAAAAGTCGCATCATTTCATTAACATTTGAGAACACTTAGCTTCACTCACAGCGCTGAAATGCTCAGAGAGGAAATCAGCAACAAAGGCCAGGTCCTTCTGAGTCATCTGGGGACGTAATCACATTATGATAATGTCAAAATATCAATTAAAAAGCCTAAATATAACACTCTACACACACTCTACACACACACACACACTAAAGCTTCCCTTTAAGCTCCCTCACCTTGTTCAACTCTGGTGGAACATGGTCTTCCGACATGCGAAGCATCGCTTAGAAGGAACAAAAATCATGGTTACAGTGAGGATACGATTTTAGCCAAGCTTCATTCTTATACCACTCAAGTAAAAATGCAAAAGATCCAGTCTCACCAACGTACAGCCATCGGAAAAAGGCCTTAAAATTCTTCATACTTTTATCGATGACTCTGAGAAGGAGATGCACACAATACAGATTGATAATGAAGAGTTTCTGGCACATTTGCAAACAAATCACACACAGCAGATGATTATGTGGAGGCCAAACGTTCAGACTCACTGTAAGAGTTCACTAGCCTTTAGAGTGAAGGAGCCTACGGCTGTGATGGCATCTACAAGATACACAGAAGTCAACAATGTTAAAATCAGAACGGAAACAAAAACAACTCCTCACAGATATCACACTTACTATGCCCTTACATATTTATCTGGTCCTAGTCCTGGCCCTTGGTGATTCTTCACAAATCAAGATTTGCCAGTTAGCCATATCATTTAAGCCCTAAGTCAAACCTGTCCAATAGCTGGAGAAGTAAAGGACATTCCCAAAGGACAGCCCTCAGTTTCGGCCTAAATTTTCCAGCTCTGTAGGGAAATCCTGCTTTGGGAAACACCCCATAGGAGTACACTGCTTTACCACACCCATTTAAATGATGGGGCTGGTAATTAACTGATGAGTTGAATTATGTGTGGGACCAAGAAACCCCTAACAGTTGCAGCTGGGACAGTCTGTGTATTGACAACAAAAACAGAAAGCAGTGAGTAAATTTAGTTTGACCTGTAAAATAAAACCAAAAAAAAAAACAATATTTGATGTTTTACCTTACGAACTTAATTGCTCACACATCTGATACCTGCAATATTTTTCAAAAAAGTTGGGAGAGGAGCCAGTTTACCACTGTGGAACATCACCTCTCCTTTTAACAACAACTGATAATCATTTGGGGACTGAAGAAACCAACTGATCCAGTTTTTAAGGTAAAAGTGTTTTAATTCTTTCAGTACACGTCTTCAGCTGCACAACCACATGGGGCCTTTGCTGGCATATTTTGTGCATGATGACATGGCGTACGTTTTTAATAATAGACCGATCTGGACTGCAGGCAGGTCAGTCTAGCATCTGCACTTTCTGATTACACAGTGATGCTGTAACAACTGCAGAACGTGGTTTGGCACTGTCATGTTGAAATAAGCATGGATGTCCCTGAATAAATCAATAGAGTCTGGCTGCAGACATGCACTCTCAGACAGATGCACTCTCAGCCCCAGTGACGTCACGTGCACATGCACTGTCTGCCACAATGGCAGAAGCAGCCCAACGGCATGTTGACTTTTAATAAGGTGTTTTCAGACTGATTCCAGATGCATTTGTTCGTTTCCTAATGGTCTCTAATGGCAACCATTAAGCCAATTCCTGTTACGAAGCAAAGAGTTTCAGCAGAAGCCTTTTTGTTTTTTCTGCGAATAAGCCCAACATTCGTGTCTTAACGTTGTGGTTGGTTTTATTATAAAAGTTTCCATATTTAATTACCTTATTATTAGTATGCCAATGTTAAAATATGTTCAGTGTAACTCTCGTTGCCCAACAGTACGTGGTTTGCTGTTTTTCCTCATAAAACCAACAGAAACGCTGCTGTGGCAGAGCGCTGACGTCATGAATAGGCTGGCGGTGCACGTCGGGCTGAGAGTGCATGTCTGCGGCCAGACCTTTCTCGAAAAAATGTCATCTAGAGGTCACCATATGAAGCATATGCTACTGCAAAATGTTTATATATCTTTCAGCGTTAATAGTGCCGTTACAGATGCCCCCCTATACCATGTCCATGATGAAGTCCCTGACTCTTTTGATGATAGTCTGTACTATAGAGGGTGAAATACCTAAAATCCCTGCAATCGCATGCTAAAGAACATTGTTCTCATGCTGATTTTTTGCTGGCACATTCTTTGGCAAAGTGGCGAGGCTCTACCATCCTTGCTGATAAAAGACTCAGCCTTTCCTGGATGCTCCTTTTATACCCAAGCAAGACAACATCGGTTTAAGAGTTTTGTTTGTTTTTTGAACATTTCACAATGTGAAAACTGTCTTAAACTGTCCCTGCCCAAACTTATTTGGAATGTGTTTGGAACCAATTTCAGAATAGGTGTACATTTACAAAACAATGAAGTTGATAATGGTATAAAGATATTAAGGTAAGCTGATAAGGTAATTTTTTATTTGTACATTTTTCATTAAAAACAGGTCAACATGGATTAACGATCCACCACACTTGTTTTTTAATTTGCATTTCACATACTGACTCAACTTTTTTTGGAACTGAGATTTGTAAGTTACAACAGAATTTATTTTAAAGCACAGATCAAGGATTTGTCTCACTACAAGTTATTCATTATTAGGGGTGTAAATTTTAAACTGCCTTATGCGTTAATATAACACACTGTTATGCTGCAGGAATGCCCAGACCTTTTTTCTTGGGGGCCAAAATTTAATGTCTATGGTGGGCAGGGGGCCAAAAAGACAAAACAATATACACACAAAGAAGATAGGAAGGCAAAATGATACTATATATTGTTACTAAAATACATCCAAAATACGAGATTAAAAGTACAATAAACAATGTAATAACATATACACCACAAATCTGTTTTTCTGCAATTTGGCACTACAGTGACTTTATTGGTGGGCCTAATTAATCGTCCTCTGAGGCCAACTCTGGTCCATGGGCTACACTTTAGGCAGCCATGCTGCAAAAATGAACGTTGACAATGAACGCTCTTTTACCTTCTATAGCTGAAGGGTCCAGACCCAGTGGCTGAAATTTCTGTTTCCATAAAGCCATGCCCTTCACCTCACTAAGATGATACAGCAGAGCTTCTGAACCACTGAGAGAGAGAAAGAGAGAGAGAGCGAGCGAGAAAGAGAGAGAGAGAAAGAGAGAATATTCATGTTAATGTAACATGCAGATACATAAACAAATATACTGTTAAAATAAATAAACAAATGGAGCGAAAGCACTTTAATAGCAAAGTGAAAAAAATACCCATGGTGCCTAATAAACAGCTTGAAATGTTCTGCGATTGCCTGCATGTATCGAATCAGCAAGTACCCAAACTGATAATTGCTAAGCTTATACACTCACTTAAGCAATAAACATTTTTCACTTTGCTCTTTAAGTGCTCTACCTGTAAGACAGCAATCTTGCCATACCTTTGTAAGTGACTAATTACCAGTTTCTGGATGCTCGAGTAAGATGACTCAATGGACTGGCCCAACATCTTTAAGCCCTTTAAGCATAAAAGCAAACAAACAAATCATCAAACAAAAATTAGACTATATAATGTGGGTAAATTAAGTGAACAACAAGAATTAAACAATTCAGGCCTAGCTTAAACCAGTCTTGCCCACTGGAAGTGTCCTCAGTCCATACGATCTGTGAAAGGGTGTATTGCAACTGTTGTGGATAAAAAGGTGAGAATTTTATGGACTTACTTTGACTGTCAGCTGATTCATGAGAAGAGCTTGCAGTTCAGGACTGAAAACACAATAGCAATGAGTTTAATCAATACAATAAAACTTATATAGCAACTTTCTTATACCCAAGGCTTCTTTACAGAAGCATTATACGCACATAATCAGTATGTAAAGGAGAAGCAGTTCAGCTTTCGTGAAACCACAAAAAAATGCTTGTCATATGAAGCCCCCTGCTGGACACCTAAAGCTAATGCAAGATAAAAAAAAGTTCAAAACACCTCTCAAGCTAAAGGTGGTTGAGATTACAGGATATGATACACAAATTAGTAAATAGTAATGTTTCTTCTGTTTGATCTTTCTGTCAACATATTGGACACCATTATAAATATATATAAATTATACAATTATAAAAATATATAATAATATTATTAATACAACACTATTACTTCTACTATAACTACTACTAAAAATAAGTTGTTGTTGATGTTATAAACCAAAATAACATGAAAACAAAATAAAAGTAAAATAATCTAGACAGTTGAATACCAAAGTGATTTTTTTTTTTTATATTTTAAATATAAGTAATAGAAGTAATAGAAGAAGCCTGACAAATACTTATTCATCCAATATGTATGGTTTTATGGAGTCATTGATGTATATCAATAAATTTTTACTTACCTAAAATATTAATCTGATATACTTGTTCTAACGTGTCCAAAACGCTGGCAAAACTACCACAACAGTATCACCATCAAGGTACGTTTGATCTACAGTGTTTGTATCTCATCTAATAAAGCCTAGTTATAGTGAAGTGTGTCTGATCTTTACTGTTCGTACCTGGCATGTCCCCATAACAGCAGCTCCAAGAACTCATCCTGAACCTGAGTACTTGTATTCTTCTCCTGCAAAACAACATCAATAAAAGTTTTTTTCCCCAATAAATATCCCAAACATGTTTTAAATACTACAACAGCATATAATGGAAAATATGGCTGGTATACATGTTGATGAAAAAGGCAAACATGTACACAATCCACCATAATGACTGCTAAACATACAAAGCCTTCAAATCTGATTACCCAGGTCTAATTGAGTATCAAATATAATCTGAGAGTAGAGAACATGTTATCATTGCATCAGATGGGATGTCTAAGATTTAATGGTGTGTTATTGGTTAAAACACAATGATCCCTGACCTGGACGAACTTGGTGAGGCGGAGATCCATCTGCATGAGGATGTCCTCCCAGGCCTCACACATACAGGTGAGAGAGAGGCGCAGGTACTGAAAAAGACACAGATACAATTGAGTAGGCAACACAGTGAAAGACAAAGAAACAAGTTCTCTGGATATAGGTTAGGTCTAGCAGTAGATTAAAAGACATTAAGTTAAAGAATCCATATCATGAAAAAGCAAAAGAGCTCGATGACTTCATGAAAACCAAAGCAATTAAGTCATAATGTTTCATCTCAGACTGCCTTTTGAATGAGGCTTAATACAGGGCAGCCAATCAGAACAGAGCTCATTTACATACATCAGTCTTAAAGACACAGTACAAAAACTATTTGAATCTAAAGGATAAAGAGAGGTAGGAAAATAGTCATGGACAATTTTATTGTGACTGTTTTTGGTACATAAAACCACACAAATGTACTAAGTGTACCTCAGCTGAAAAGATAACATACAATTATAAAATAGGACATCGGCCCTTTAAAACTAGGCTGAGTGTGCCCGTAAACCCTTGTGCAGGAAGTGTTGCCGAGAGACCTGGATCAGGGTGGAGATGTGAGTGAATTTTCGAGCCATCCTGGTTAACTCCGGAAGACAGGAAGAGAGCAGTCCTGTGTCCAGCTACAAGAGAAAGAGTGTGGTATTATACAGCTGTAATGCAACTGACTGTAGATGCAGCTTAATCATAATCATCGGATGGCCTCCAACACCACTTTCCTAACGACTTCCACATGAGCATTTGGCTTTAAAATAAAGAGAAAAATACAAAACACACATAATATCTTGCTTCAAAATTCAAATTGTTTCTCTAGATCAGGGGTGCCAAACTCAACCAGTAAAAGGGCCTTATTAAAAAATCTCAAAAAATCCGTGGGCCAGAGGAAAAAAAAGTTTTTATTTCATTTTCAATTAATGTTGTGCTATAACCCGAACTGGCCACTGTTTATTCAAAAAACGCCAAAATGTCAACAGTAAAATATAGGCACATGTAGCAGACCTTGAAATATTACATGAATACTTAAAATATTCAAAATGGAAACGTCCCCAGGAGCTCGGTCTGCCTAAACCTGCCTATCTGCTTGAACTGGACACCTGCCATCCTTTCTTTGCTGCAAGTTCATTAATACTTGGGCTCAGGTTCTGAGCAGTGTTAGGCATTTATGTTGGATGAACAGCAGCTGAAATGCAGCTGGTGTGTTTGGTGATATGACAGGTGTGAAATTGTGCAGAATGGTGTAGAATTGAGGTGTAACCACTGTCCCATAGACTGTTGTCGGGGTAGGAGAGTCACAGCGCACATTACATTGCAGTGCATGCTGGGTACTGTAGTGCAGCGCATTGTGAAACGGGCTAATGTTAATAGAAAATGAAAATACTTCTGCAGGCTGGATAGGACTGTGTCACGGGCCAAATCAGGCCTTGTGTTTGACACATGGGCTCTAGATACTATTTTAAGTCTCCATCTGTGGTGTTGTTTCCACCGCTATCAGGTGATTACCCCAAACCTGCAGCCAAATGAAATCTTATCTGAAGCAATAATGAGAATTAGAAAGATGAAAACCAAAGAGCGGAGAGCTGCGACAGCATCAGGAAACCCAATCTTGTTACAGAATCAATAGCAATGGAATTTGATTGTCTTGCACAGGTAGTTTCTAAGACAACACAGCCTACCTGAACGTAGTGGATCTCAGCATTATCTTCTGGGGATTTTACTTCTGTGACAACTGAGAGGGACTTGAGGTCACTGGCGAGACAGAGACTGCGGCATGTTCCTGCAATCTATGAGAGAGAGATGTAACATGAGCATTTAATACATCTGTGTGATCAAAACATGATTCTGTAGTTGTTAGATACAGAGATATAAACAGAGAGCAAGAGGGTCGGGATGGGCACCATGATATGTTATAATGATCAAATGTCAGGAAACACTCCTCTGAGTGTATCACAGGTATCCCCAGTATGTCTAGAACGCTGAACACTGGCACATGTCATAAAAATAAGACCGATTTAGACTGATTAAAGTGAGCCTGTAAACAACAACAACAACCAGTGTATTGTAACTGCATAGTAGTAGGTAAATTATGTTTATAATTTTTTTTTTTATGGTCACCAACTGATTTTTCCTACAAAACAAAACATTGTAATCAAGCTTGTGTCAATTCGCTCAAACTGCATCCAGGCCTTTATTAAGGTCACACGTGTGGTTTAAGACATAGTATGATTTACTGTAAACCATAAAAATTAAGCACTACAGGCAGCCACTGCACTGGTATTCACAAAGCAGGACTGATCAGATTCTTCTGTATTTATGAGGGTCATTGTCACAAATATTCATTCTAGACCAACACTCCTGCTCCTGAGGTGGTTTGTGAATACAGTCCCTGAAATTTAAAGTGGCTGCATACAGTTTGGTTCATTTTTATAGCTCATAAAAAGGCATAACATGTTTTAATCCACATGGGCAAGTCTGTGCCGCCTTGATGATAACTTGGAGGCAGTTTGAGTGGGTCGAGAGATGTTTTGGGGATACGGTTTTCAGGAAAGATTTGGGTGACTATTGAGTTCTAGTGTTTTTTAGCTACATTAGCCTCGTAGCTCCAGTTCTAAACTAAGTAAGCAAAATTTGGACACCAAACCTGTCTTGGTTGCTCATCTACATCTGGGATAACTGGGAAAACTGTATTTTTTCTTCTCCCTTAACAAGTTAACCTAATAGTACAGAGTGAACTGCTTGTAGATGAGCTGCAATCAGAAGCAACAAAGCACCCACGTTCTGTGTACAACCAACCAAGACTAACTGGCAATCTGGAGCGCTAGCGGAAATAACTGCAATTTAAAACAAAGTCACAGTTTTGTTCAGAAAGAAATCATATTTACCTAAATCTCTTTAGAAATTCTTACCCCTTTTAGAGTGGCTATCTTGTACAGGCCATATGCATACAGCTCCACAAATCCAGATGGCCCGCCTACCACCAGGATATTAAGTCTGCAGTGAACAAGGCACATATAAATCAAAACACATTAAGGCTAAGATTCAAGTTTATCAAATCCATGCACGCATTGCAGCACTGACCTCACTTCCCCCAGGAGGCTGGTGACTTCATCTGATTTTTCTTCACTGAACCAAAAGAAAGAGCACAGTGCATGAGGGCACACAAAACACACACAGACGGTTGTCCCAAGTATGGCCTCACAGGAAAAAACAACACACATACGAAACACTGCAGCAGCATAAATCACACCTACCTGAATATTTTTGATGTGGAGCTGTAGCTGAAAACAGACAGAACACTTGAGTGACGATCACACAACAACCTAAACATTTCCTCAGCATGATCTTCAATGCAACTATTCAATATAAACTCTAAATTCAAATGTCTGTAGACACTTCCTCATCCAACATTTCTTCTGAAATCAAGGGTATTAACAGGGAGTTTGTCCTCTATTCTTCTGGGAAGTATTTACACTAGGTGTTGGAACATTGTTGTGAGGATTTGATTGCACTTAGCCACAGGAACATTAGTGAGGTCAGGTACTAACGCCACCCGACCTCATCCCGAAGAGAAAAGATGGTACTCCATCACTTCCGAGAATGCAGTTTCACTGCTCCACAGCCCAATGCTGGAGGGAATTTTTTATTTTTATTTTTGCATAATCGCATCATCACACATTTCTGAGCTCAGTGCAATTACTTCCCACAGTTGTCAGCTTTCAAAATCATGTGTTTACATCACTAAACAGAACGTGCATTTGTTTGAGGCAAATACATGTAAATAAATGAGAAAATGTATTTATCAAGCCACATCACGAAAAAAAAACATTCTAACTGTTGAATAGTGCTGTAACACTTTCAGTGAGCAGTGGTGAGTAATGTTTGCATTTGATGTTTATTAATAACAACTTTAAAGGCCAGTGGTGAATAATGCTTATTTATTTAAGCTGTAGCTGTGTTATTGGTTGGGAGCTACTAAGCATCGACAGCTAGAAAGCAAAATCACCAAATCATGTAATTTGGCCATTTTAGTCTTGTGACTTACAGTGAACAAAAAAGACAATTAGATTGTTAATTCCAATTATTTATATGGCAACAAATTACAGATCTTGACCTTAGGCTCAGGTGTGGCTGCTTCAGAGCATATTATATTGGCAATATTTTCTATACAGATGATACATAGAGCATATAAACATTAAAAATGAAACCGCATAGGCAGTTGGTGCCAGATTATTGCGAGCTGACTACATGCTGGTCAAAGACACCTCTGTATAGAATGTAGGATCAGACAGAAACTTACCTCTTTGGCAATGCTGGCAGCTTGGGTAGGAAACGGTTGGACTCGTCCTCAGAGTCACTGAATGATGATAAGCTTTAAAGTAAGAGAAAAGCAACGATGAACCAAAAAAGGACAAAGAAAAACAATCTTTCCTGGGTGTTACTGAAACAACACACACACCTGCTGTCACTCTGCACCTCCATCCAGTGCATGCAAGACACAGGGTAGTCTACAGGAAACAAATGGAGGATCTCTGCCTTCTCAGCATCACACAGGACCACCTGCTTTGTGTCCCCCACACTGAAGGCCAATACTGTCAATAACAACAAAGAAGTACATCTTTAAATTATGTCTAAAATAAAGGCTTGTTTTGCATTAAATCTCTAGCAGCAGGTATTATGAGACATGTGGCATGATCTGGCTTACTTTTGCCATCAGGCCTCCAGGCCAAAGAAGTGATTTCTTTTCCCGTGTTTTCATTGGGTGCTAAACTCCACACACGTTGGAAATTGGCAAGGCGATGTAGTAAGAGCTGAAATTTAGCAAATCAGAGGTCAATCACAAACAGTACATTTTTAAACTTAAAAAGACATAAAACACAGAATTCACACTGAAACATGTTTAAAAGGTCAAAAATATTCTCAAGTGCTCAGTTCCCTATAGCAGGTGTTCTCAAATCGGTCCTCAGTGCTCCAACGGATTTGGAGCTTGGAGGTTGGAACCTATTATGTGCCACTATTTATCTACATTACAGCATTACAGCCTGAACTGGAGAATCGGAACATAAAACACCATCACAGTTAGATCACAAAAACATGTCAAACGTATTCAAGCCTAGGCTTTAGCAAAAGAAACAAAGAAAAACTTTTTTTAATGAAAATTATGAAAAATAAAGAAGCAATAATCAGAAACTGAAACCATAAAGAAATATGGATAGTTCCACTGCTGTGTTACAATATTTATATCATTTAAGACTTTTAGTTTTTGATGTTTGAGTTTAATTATATCAGTTAGAAAGTCACTATTTAATTAAAACTTTTGGAAGTTTAAGATTAAAATATAATATATATATATATATATATATATATATATATATATATACATATATATATATATATATATAATTACATATTATATAATATAATACATATGTAATTATGATGTTACTGATAATCAAAACTTTAAGCCCTCTGCCCCAAAATGTTTTTGTCAGTAGGGCAACGACTGGAAATTAAGTTTGCTTGTTCTGCATTGGTTTTTGGGCAGCATGGAGGCGCAGTGGGTAGCGCTGTCGCCTCACAGCAAGAAGGGCCTGGGTTCGTCCAAAGACATGCAGTCAGGCTAATTGGACACGCTAAATTGCCCCTAGGTGTGAGTGTGTGTGTGTGTGTGTGTAAGTATATGTCTGTCTGTCAGCCCTGTGATGGACTGGCGACTTGTCCAGGATGTATCCTGCCTTCTGCCCTATGACCGCTGGGATAGGCTCCAGCACCCCACGCGACCCAGAAGGATAAGCGGTTTAGATAATGTGTGTGTGTATGTGTGCGTGTGTGCATTGTTATTCTCTGTGTTCCCTATTTAAAATAAAATGCTAAAGTGAGAGGTGTAAGCAACAGCAAAACAGCACTGCGAACAACAGAACAGAATGGAATTAGTAGCTAAACATGAATGCCTAAAAAAAACTTAGTAAATTCAGTAAAGTAGTTTCCTAACCTCTCCAGCGGTGTTGGCTAATGCGATAAGGTCTCTCTTTGGTGACCAGGCCATGTACAGAACCGGGTTTGGCAGCTGCTTTTCTCCCACTTGTCGGAAAGCAGGCATTGTGAAGGCCTGGTCTGACTATGTCTGCGGATAGTAAGAAACTGCTTAGATTAAAGGAGTCCACATTAACAAATGCTTGACAATATGTGGTCTAAGAACTGCTCTAGAGTATAGACAAGATCTCACAGGCTTCACAGCTAAAAATATGTCTGACAATTATTTCCCCTGGCAGCTACTGCTGACACACTAAGAAAATGCTGAGTAATGAGGGATGCAGCCACACATAAGCCTGAAAATTAGATGTGTTGATACTGCCACTAGTGAATACCACACTTAAAGGGTCTGTATCAGGGAAAACCAAATTTTCCTCACTTTAAGCTTGATGTAGTGTGAAAAACATGTTAAAGTTATAAACCTTACCATTCATTCTCCTATCTATACAGAGCTCATTTACTTATAGGCAGTTTTAAAGAAACAGCAACCTGTTTAATTCTAAGGGATAAGGAAGTGCTGGAAAATTGTTAGGTTAAAATTAATTATGGCTATTTTTGGTATGTAAAATAATAATAATAACAGTAATAATAATAATAATAACAAACATGAAAACAATAATCTTTATTTATATAGCACTTTTCATGCCGGTGGCAACTCAAAGTGATTTACAGACTTGAAATAAAGCTTAACAGCAAGAAATTAAAGGTGTTAATTCAAACTCGTATATAAAATATATATAAATGCAAGAAAAATGTAGGATATGGGCCCTTTAACACCTTAACATTACAATGTTTTATCGCCTTGAATAAACCTGTAACTTACTACGCAGCAGCAACTTAAATGTGGGGCGATTTGCAAACCTTTTCAACCACGAAGTCAGAGAAGCAGCGAACCTAACTAACTCACTCCATCAGTTGTCATACCTGTTTGTCTTACGTGGGGTAGCAGAGAGTGCTCACCTGTAACTGACAGCACGTCAACAAGCAGGCTAACTTACCTCTCAACACAGAAAAACAGAGGGAAAGCAGACTGATAACTTTACACCTCGACAACTTAATTCAGTGTCATACTGTTAAACTCACAGCCAGGCGCCGTTAAAACAGCGTATAAACAGACAAGATGACTCGGACACAACACACAGCTATCCACTTAGCCAGTTAGCTAACCTACTGCTGCACTGCGGTACGAGGCGCTGAGGTTCCTATTTCAGCGCTTTACTTACTTTGGTGATTCAAAAATGAACAACATTCACTGTAATATGAAGCGACTGGTTTGAGGCTCTAAACTCCTCACAGACTGGTTTTATCGCGCGGTATAATAACGCGAAACCCGCTGTTTGTAGTGACAAATAACAGCGCAGCGTTATCCGACCAGTCAACCCTCTCCTCTACCCGCCAATGAAATCTTAGCTACGGAAGGCCCAAAAGGCCAAACGAGCCCAACGGCGAAAACGCAGAGCAGGTTTCCAAATCTCAGGCGGGTCGGTTCACGCTAACCATACAGCAGAAGGATGGACCAGATCTGACAAAATGAAAAATAAATAAAATTAAAAAATAAATGACTTAGTAAAATAATATATGAAGTAGAATTGCAAAAAAAATGATGATGATAAATCTAAAAATAAATAAATATACATAACAATATATTAATAATTAAAATCTTATATAAATTAATGTCTGCATTTATTTATATGTCTATTTAGTAATTTTTGTATTATTATTTTTTGTTATTTATATGTTTCTTTATTAACAGTTTTTCTGTTTTTCTATTAATTTAGTATATTAATTCATTTCCATAACTATTAATTTCTATATTTATTTCTCTATTTATTTCTGTATGTCCTTGTCCTTATGCTAATAAAGGGGCTGTCAGTCAATGATGTCACAGCATCTAAATATTCCTATTGGTTGATCGATGTCAGATTCTGGAGATCGATTGTTCATGTCTTGCTCTCTCAGTGGTAACTGAGGATGAGACAGTAGAGTAACGGCTGCTTACAGCAGCAGTCAGAGATCTGAGAGTCTCGGCTGATCTGGCTGAAAATGCAGGTCCGGATTATTTACTCTTTCCTGTGGAGGCTGTGGGGACAGTTTGATCCATTTAGCTGATCTGCTGATTCAGAGGTCGATCAGTATTCAGAACTTTGGAGGAGGAGATTCATCGTCTTTTTCTGCAAATTTCAGATCACCCAGACATTCGGACGCCCTTCTCACTCACTGCCTGTGGATCCATCGAGAATTATTTATCGACAGGTTTGTCTGTCAGTGACACTGCAGCTCTTTATGGAGTGAAAGAGCAGTTTAATCAGCTCTTCTCCTCCTGGTCTTGATTACTAAGCCTGAACGTGAAAAACACGCCTCCTCATTATCATATGAACAAAGAAATACAGAAATAAATAAATGAATTAATGAAAAAATAAATAAATACATGAATCAATGAATAAAGCAAACAATTGTTAAAAATATAGATATGGAAAAAATATAAAAATGGCATTAATGAAACAATAAATAATACAGAAATAAATAAATTGAGAAATATATAACTGCAGAAAAAGGAAACGTGTATAATTACAATCACAATAAGCAATATATACTTTATTTATTTATTTTGTTTATTGATTAATTTACTGAGCCATTTATTTTTTTAATTTTATTTATTTTTCATTTTGGCAAATCTGGTCTACCATACAGAAGACTTTTAAAAGACTTTTAAACGACTTTTGAAAGACTAAAGTCTGACACCATCTCATATCTAAAGACAGTGTCACAGTTTTTGGTCACAGACTATGATTTTGCAAAGACTGGAAATCTTGCAGGGTCACTATTTACAAGACTGCAACTAGATTTTTAAGATTATTCCCCATCATGCACCTGGTGGAAATTTACAAGTAGAAAAACACTTCCTCCCACTATGGACCGGCACAGATGGGAAGATATGCTGGCAGGGTGACTCTGGCAGATCAGCACCCAGAATTTTAATTAATCTGTAAAATGTTTTTTTTTTTTTTTTAACTTAATTTTTATTTATTTTTTAACAGTGTTACAATGTTTCCATGGAAAAAACCCTATAAAAATACAAGTTAAATCTATACACTCTTTAATCTTAATTTTTACACAAATAAGCAATAAAGGGAATCCACTTAAAAATAAAAGTAATCAATAACATAAGAAAAAATTATGAAAATAATATGAGAACAGAACATGATTGTCTAAAAATAAATAAACAAATAATTAATCAGACAATCAAAGGGGGGGAAAGGGGAAAAAAATGTATTTCTCACTGCATTAGTAGATCTATAACTGGGCTCCATCTCTCCGTAAATGTATCTTTTTGAATTCTTAATAAGTATGTTATTTGTTCCATTTGGTAGACATCCCACACCTTTTGGATCCATAAATTATATGTGGGAGGGTCTGGATTCATTCATTTAACTGTAATACATTTCAGAGCTACCGTTAGTAATATTCCTAGAAGGTATTTCTTAGATCTCCCCTCTAAGTTATCCGGTATTACTCCCAATATTGCTACTCTAGGATCTTGTGGAATATTCTGCTGAAACACTTCCTTAAGAGCATCAAATACTTTGTTCCAGAATATCTGCAACTTAGGGCACAGCCAAAATATGTGAGTATGGTTTCCAATTTGTGCTCCACAATTTCTCCAACATGAACTGTTATGTGTTAGACCCATCTTTGACACTATTTCTGGTGTTCAGAAATATCTGGTGATGACTTTCCATTTGAATTCTCTCCAGATGTTTGAATTGGTCACTAGACTTGCTTCGGTGCATATTTCGTTCCAAGTACTCTGTGTTATATTCACATTTAGCTCTGATTCCCATCTCTGCTTTATATTTAAAGAATTATTTAGGTTCATAGACATGAATATTTGATACGGTTTACAAATTATTCTTTCCCCTCCATTCTTCTTTTGTAATTCCATGAAATAATTTTCTATATGTGTAGGTTTTATAACTTTTTCCCATTCTTTGTGTGTACTTAGAAAATGTCTCAATTGCAAATATCTAAAAAAGTCTGTTCTGGGGAGAGCAAATTCATTTTCTAGCTGTTCAAATGTCTTAAGGTTACCCCTATCCAACATCTGATACAGTTTGGTTAAACCATATTCTGACCATCTTTTAAACCCTGTATCCAAACTGTTGGGGATAAAGGTTTTCATATGTCCAGTGCTTGCTAACAGTGAGACTGTCTTGGGCAGCCTGAATATTGATGGTATTTTTTTCCATATCTTAAAGGTAACTGCAGTCCATTGTCCCAATTCTTTTATAGGGGCATCCAAAATGGTAAGACATTGAGGGCCACTGGACACGTGCCGTTACTTTTTAAATTTGACATAAAGATTTACATATCAACACAACCTTTAGCGATTCAGCATTGTTGACTGGGTGTTATGAACTAAACCATAAAAAACAAACAAACTAAATAAAAACACTGTAACAAAGCAGGAAAAAAAACAATTGATGATTCCTCAATAATGTCATTTTTAAAGTCCTCTGCACATTTCCTTACATCACTGTTACAGTCATTGAACCTGAAATATTAAAACAGACAGTTCATATTTTAAGGCAATATGATTATTGTATTAAAGTGGGACAGATTTGCCTGTTTACAGAGATTTCAGGTATTCACGCATATTCTCTCTCTCTCTGAATGAAATGAAACTTTAGCCAACTGTGTCTGACACATCGGAATTAGACCTCCGCATTTAACCCATCCGTGCGGTGAAACACCACATACGCACTAGTGAACACACACACACACACACAAGGGGGCAGTGAGCACACTTGTGTGTGAGCACACTTGCTCACTGCAGTGGGCAGCCCAGGCCATATCCACAGTGCCCAGGGAGCAGTTGGGGGTTAGGTGCCTTGCTCAAGGGCACTTCAGCCAAGGGGATCGAACCAGCGACCTTCCGGTCAAAAGCCTGGTTCCCTAACCTCCAGCCCACGACTGCCCCTTCCTTCCTTTCTTTCTTTCTTTCTTTCTTTCTTTCTTTCTTTCTTTCTTTCTTTCTTTCTTTCTTTCTTTCTTTCTTTCTTTCTTTCTTTCTTTCTTTCTTTCTTTCTTTCTTTCTTTCTTTCTTTCTTTCTTTCTGTCTGTCTGTCTGTCTGTCTGTCTCTTAAAGAGTCAAGAACTTAAAACTTACGATAATATTAAACATGACTGATTTTGTTGCACCTGCGATGGATTGGCGACCTGTCCAGGGTGTATCCTGCCTTCCGCCCAATGACAGCTGGGATAGGCTCCAGCACCCCACCGTGACCCAGAAGGATAAGCGGTTTAGATGATGTATGTACGATTATGTATGTCGCAGCGTCAAGACAAGAAAAAGACTGACATAAAACGGCCATCTTGACCACCTTACACTAAACGACGGAGATGACGCGAATGCGACGCGATCGCTTGAAAAGTCGTTTGGTGTAAGACCGGCATCAGTGTACCGAACCGATTCTGTCAAACTGTCTGATTCAAAGATTCATGTTCCAACAGGGATGTGCTGGAGTGCATGATGATTCGTGATCAAGGCATTTTTTACCTCCTTCATGTTCATCTACTTTTAACATAGGACTGCTTGTCTCAACACATCGTGGATATCGTCAGGACTTGTTTTACTATAAAGACAGAAAACTTAGTACTGTTTAAATGGATTTAGTGCAGTACAGTGCGTCGAATAATGAAGAATTACTGTGTTCACAGTTTTTGATAAAACTTTTTAAATACAGCACTGCTGGTCATTTGTTCTCAGTTCCAACTGATCAGATGCCTGAAAAGAAATTATTGTGAGATATAATGAAAATTTCTTGAAGTACTGTTTTGTTAGATTTTTGCTATATCACCCACCTCTTGGTCAACACTTTTCAAAATAACTAATTTATGCGTATTGTCATTTTTTTATTTTTAAAGAGTCCATATTTAATGGTAATTAGCAATTACCATTAATGGTAATTAAACACTAAACTATTATATTACAATTAAACTTTATTAATAATAAGAAATATGTAAGGAGCAAACAAATAAAACAAAGCAATATCTTCACAATTAAAAACTTAAATGAGACTTTCATGAACAATATTTACAAAGTTGTAATAAACACAGTGCTAACACAATTTACAGCACATTACAAAGAATGGAATACAAGAAGGAATATTAAAGAGCCCATATCCTACACTTTTCATGTTTTTTTTTTTTCATACATTTGTGTGTTGATGTACAGGCAAAAACAAAAACCACTCCTTGCCTATTAACAGAAATAAACTACTGTACAGCAGTGGGATGTTTTTGTTATTGCTTCTTCAGGACTGATATATGTAAATGATCACAGTTCTAGTTGGCCGCCCTGTTTTGTGTTTCACTCAAAAAGCAGTCTGGGCT